AATCCTATATACTGTCACCCCAACAGATCTGGAGGGAGCCTGGTTGGAAAAAGCTGGGTTAGCCTTTGAATATTACTAAGGAATTAAAAGAAGTTTTCCTGCTTTCATTATATTGGACGCAAACATCTCTAAGACCTCTTACTTACCAACCAGCCCCCTCCATCTATTTCCATGTCACAGAAAACCACCATTGCTTTCCCTGTGATTGGATAGATGGTGTACCAGCCAGTGAGCGTCTCTCCTTGTTCATGGAGCTCCTTGCAATTTCTGGCTCTTCCCCCTGTGAGAACAATGGGGTGAGGGGGGAGAATGTGTGGATCAGTTCAGATTCTTTCCATTCTTAAAATACTATATTTTGGGGGCTATGAGATGCTTTGAACTATAAGACACACATTAGTTTTAGATGAGGAAAACAAAAAAAAGAAATCAGCCAGTTTACCACTGAAACTGCCACCTGTTCGCTGCTGCTCCTTTGTCACCACTGTGACCCATTCACCACCACAGTCTGTTCGCTGCGGACCATCAATCACCACCGCTGCCTGTTCACCACCACTGCAGCGCATTCTCCACCGCCCATTTTCTGCCACCGCAACTCATTCACCACTACCCGTTCACTGCCCCCATCCGTTCAATCGACAATTGGTGGTGATAGCAGAGATAGGCAGCGATTGGCGATTGTGGCAATCCCCACTGCTTAGAACAGCTGATCAGCACCTCACCTGCCCCCCTCACCCCACAACAAAGGTCGAACAAAGGGAGATCAAAATGAAGATAAAGTCAAGCTGATGGCATTTGTGCCAGTTATCTGGGGAAGTTTGAAGGGACTGAATTAGCAAGGGGAGAATGCTTAGACATACCTTCCTGCTGACAGCCTCCTGAGCGGCAGGGTTCCCCTGTGGAAAGAGGGGGAAAAAACACTGTTTTTGAGCTGAAAGTAAAAGGAAATATGAAGATTTCACAGTTTCTCCTCTACTTACAATCATTCATTTAATGACCATTCAGAATTACAAGGGCATTGAAAAAAAGTGATTTATGACTTATGACGACTTGCAGTATTTCTGTATTCACATGATCAATATCCAGAAGCTTGGCAACTGGGTCATACATATAATGGTTGCAGTGTCCCAGAGTCTTGTCATCACCTTGGCAACTTTATTTATTTCATTTATTTATTAGAATTTGTCAAACAAAAACGAGAACCAGAGTAAACTTTCTGACAATCAAAGCCACTGGGTAAGGCAGATTTACTTAAGAATAATGTTACTAATCTATAACAACTGCAGCAATTCATTTAACAAGTATGGCAGGAAAGGTCGTAAAATGGGGGCAAAACTCACTTAAGGAAGAGGCAGGTAGAGAATACACCTGCAAAGAACTTATCTTGCAGAGTGATCACCAAAGTAGAAGCTTGAGTAAAAATATTTGTTTATAGGCCAAGGGGATTTCCATATATCTCCCTTATTTAAAAAACGGATCTCTGGAGATACCTTACCATTATCTCCTTTGTCTCCTTTGTCTCCCTTTGGTCCAGCTTTTCCAGGTATCCCAGCAGAGCCCTTTTCACCTAAGGAGAACACAACAATGCTCCTTAAAAGAACACCTGGAATATACCAAGAGGTTTCCAAATCTCGTCTAGGTAACAAGCAAGATCATCACAGAAACTTTTATTTCACAGTTTGCAAAAAGGGGGCAGCAACCCTTTGATAAACAAGAGAGCTACCTATACACTTTCCACATAATGGAAGAATGTATAACTATTTTAAACGTGCATTGTTTTTCAGGGTTCCCTCATCTTTCTCAAGCACTGACTGAGAAGACCATAACACCTTGCTAGGAAAGAACTGAATGGTATTTGGAAAGGGAGAAAGCTGGTGGGCAGAAGAATAGTTCTTTTAACAAAATGATACATTCCATCCTCTCTGAAAAAGAACTAGAAGTTCCAACTACAGAGACATTCTCAACTGCTACTACTGTACAATCATCAGCATTTTAAAAATCCTCTTCCTGACCTGAAGTGCAACCTTGCTGGTACAGCACCTTCCCTTCCTAGATGGAATTTGAGGGGCAGGGTATTTGTCAGGACAAAGTCTGGCAAGTAATCTTGGTGATGCTTCCCCCAACGTCCTTTTTTCTAGACAGTCCAGGCTATGAGATTCCTAGAACAGGTGCTAGATCTACTTGACACCAATTGTCAACTTACCTGGAGGGCCCTGAGGTCCTGGCTCACCCTTGGCTCCAGGAAGTCCATTTGTTCCTGGCACACCTGGAATTCCAGGTATCCCTGCCTGGCCCTGGAGAACAATCTTGTCACCCCCACATTGTGCTAAGCTCTTCAGCTCTGGAATAGAAGAAAGAGCATAAACAGAGTGAGAAACTAGACAGAAGCAGGACAAGTCACACTAAATCAAGGTGACCCTAGTTTGGATGCTAGCAAATCAGGATGATGCAGCAGATAATATTAAATTTCTACATAGGGAATTCTAGACAAGTTCACTTTTATTTTTTTATTGAGTCTTCACAAGCTTTTAAAACTTGTATTTTTCAAACTGCAAGAGAAAGGGTGAGAAAGGCAGAAGAACAATGACATATACAGGATACTCTTAGGAAACAATCCCTGATATTAACATGTATGCATTTTCTTTTCAAATATTATAGTTGACAAGTGTACACACTTACAATATAGTGGGAAATCAAAAGAATACTTCAGTGGGAGCCCAGAAAACATTTGTCCTCTAATGAATCCATCTGTACATATAAGAATCAGATCTCTTTCTTCTCATTTATATTTTCAAATGTATTCCTAAAACCTGTTAGCTAAATTCTTAGATAATGCACAGGTTGTACAATCATTACATTTAAAATGACACATACATGTGTTTTTAGTGATTTGTACAATAGAAATATTAAATCTACAGGTTTAAAAGATTTGATGTTTATTGACAGATTTCACTTAATTTCCATAAAATGTGTAATTAGGCACCTCTTTCATTGTTGTTTCTGGCCTCATCCAGCCTACTCATCATGTTTGCTGAATGGTCTGCAACAAACAAACTCAACTGCTTTCTGAGCAACCGCACTCCCTCCTACCAGTCAATGGCAGAATGCTAAAAAAACCAACAAGGTGGGATTCTATTCTCTTCCATTCTAGTATTTGCTTTTTGTAAAAAGCAGGCGGACAGTGCCCTGTCTCAGTGCTGTGGTGAAGTAAAGGCTATGTACCAGGGTAACTTTGGTGTGGGAACCCTGAGGAACTGGGTGATCTGTTTTTCCCAATGGGGAACTCCAGCAACTCTGGAAAATCTTCAAAACTGTCTTTACTGCATTTATTCTACCGTCAAATATGAATTACTTCCAAAGCTGATTGATTCAGCACATGAAGCCCACCTAGCGCCTCTCATGACTAAAAGATTAGCTCAGCCTTTATGTGTGAAAGATGCTTTTGCCACAAAGCTCCCTGTCATCTGATTAGGAGAGTCTTTCAAGCCGGGGAAACAGCACATGCTACAGAATAGGGCAGGCATCTTTTTATAAGGCATGCCTTTTTGGCTAAAGACAAACTCCACTGGTCTATTTCTTTCCCCATCTTTCCTAGAATGGCTGTAATTTCACTAAAGCTCCTTCCATGGGTCTGTCAACTTTGCTCCTTGAACATCCATTCCTCCCTCTGGCCAATAACCAAGCAGGAAATGGCTACTAGACAATGCCTTCCCCACATTGTTGTATTTGGGTTTCCCAAGGAGGAAAAAATAAAAAAGCAAAACTAACCATTGCCTGGAGCTAAACAGTACCTTCCCTAAAGGGAGGGGAAGTCCCAGGGGCCGGAAGGTGAAATGAGAGAGAAGATGGAAGCTCTCTAGAGCAATCTATCTTAATTAACTGGCTCACCCCAGAAAGGTCCAATTGAGACTCACGTGCACAGCAGCTGGTTTCTGTCTCCTCCTGTGTGGATAATCCCCTCTCTGCAGACAAAGCAATCAGGAATAGGAAGCAAAAACCAATCCAAATTGTCATCTTGCCTCAGGGAATGTACCAGTAGTCTTCTATCCTTTAAATATGTTGTTGAGCTGGGCTGGGGTTTTAGGTGTTCTTGTATTTATAGGAATGCTATTAGCTCTGTAAACAGACAAATGAGGCAATAATAGAATTTCCTTGCAAAGGTACAGGAGGAAACTATGTTGAAAGTCTTTTCTTGCAACACCTGCTTTCACAAACCTTGGCATCATTGCCGAAATTTGTAGATGAGGGACGGAGCTCTAGAAATAACAGAAATCCCTGCATCACATTACTTTCCCAATCCCCCTTGTCCTTCCTTGAATATTTTCTGTGGAACAATGTGGATCATTTAACCTCGGTTATTGGCAGGGGAGAAGAAACATGAGTGAGCTGCACTTCGGGTAAACAAATACATCAGCTTTTACATTTGTCCTTCTTGGATAAATATTCCCTGACAAAGACTGACAATACCTCAATTAGCTTAGCCAAGTTTATTGTATCTAATGCGTGACTAAAGATTAATACCTGTTCATTAATCCCTTCTGCAATTTTTGTATGTTCTTATTGATTATAAATGTATTTTACATCCAGATAAGTATAGTATAGATCAGTGTTTCTCAACTTTGGCAACTTGAAGATGTCCGGACTTCAACTCCCAGAATTCCCCAGCCAGCATTCGCTGGCTGGGGAATTCTGGGAGTTGAAGTCCGGACATCTTCAAGTTGCCAAGGTTGAGAAACCTTGGTATAGATTAAATTATTAATTTTTAAAATATACAGTGAAAGAAAGGTTAGAAAGTAGGTATAATCTCTAGAAAGTAGATTAATAGGCTTTTCTCAAAAAGCAATGTGTGCTGCTAGCCTAGCCAGCCTTGCCATAAGAACAGGTTAAATTAAAACTAAAAAATTTCTTGTAATAGTGCGTGAGAAAGATCTTGGGACGGTAGGTGAACAGATGTTACCAAGGGACAGCATAGCCTGCAGCTAGATAGCGGGATGAGCAGGAGGCTCAGAAGAGACCCTCCCTAGTTTTTCAGTTGTAAAGGAGAGAGGCAGGAGAGAAAATTGGTTTTTTTTTTTGTAACATATGATATTATGATTTACAGCCACATTCATATTAGCAATGAAAATTCTGAGCATCCCTTCCATGCTATTATTGTGGCAAGGTGAAGCTAGCATTTTCTCAGTCAGTTCAGGCCACAGCTTTCTTTTAATTTTTTTCATTCCAGTTAATGGCTAGTTTTCTTCTCACTTCAGTTGCCATCTCTGTGTAATGGTACTTGAGGATAAGGGATATAAGGGTGGGGCGAGTGGGGGGAGAGAAACATGCAATTGAACCCCACACCTTATTAATTTTAAAACAGTCAGTCAGAGTTGGACAACTATATCATCATGAATGTATAAATTTGCCGTGAACATCAACTGAATACTTTAAATCATCTTGTTAAGTGGCCCCCTTATTTGTAATCTAAGTGGGCCTAGATGCTTTGGTGTTTTATTTTTCCAGGGAATTTCTTGAAATCAATTACTCAAAATGAAGGTTCTAGTTTTCTCTAGAATGCACTTTCATTCCTCCATTACATGAGAATTCAATTTAAAAAACAAATGAATCAAGTTAAGGACTTAAAGTAAGTTGATTACCTTCACTCATTGGAACAACCAAGTGTGTGAGCTTTCTATTAAAGCTCAAAAAGTTGCTAATATAATCTTAAAGTATTCCTGGCAGTAATAAATCCCTGTAGCAATAAAATTATATAAAGCAAAGATTCCAAGTCTGTTGTTATATGGTGCACAACTTTGTGTTTCTAAGAATGTCTCTACTCTAGAAGCTGTTCAGTCTAAGTTCCTTATAATTGTTTGGCTAGAGCTTGGCTGAATTTCATTTTGACTTCTCGGGTTTTGGCTGAAACAAATCTTTTATGGGTGAGTCACTGGTTTACCTTACCTTCTTGGAAAGCTTTTCTTCCCTAAGGAGGGAATTTTTTTTGAGCCAGGCAATTCTGATAATTTATCTCAGCGCAGAGGAAACCTTAATTAACCTTAAATAGAGGATGTGGGATTTAGATCTAGAAAATGATAGAGTTAGAATCATTCATCCCTGTTATGGCCCAATTGAAAATTATCCATGAAAAATTCCTAGCTACTTCCATGCATCCTACACAATTCATATTAATCCTCATAGGAGATATTTTAAGTTAGTTTGAATGGTGCACTATTCACAGGAACACATTTGCTATAAAATATATTAGTGTCCTATGTAAAAAGTATATGTGCTCAGACAGGCACAGGTAATCGTATTATTTCTGTAGGGCTGTAGGTTCTTATTAAGTTGTAAACAAAATCAGTTGCACACTGAATTTCTGTGCCAAAATATAACAATGCAGATAATTTAATTATTATTTAGTAAAATAACAAGTTAGTATAAATTCATAAAAACTGGCTATAAAATTCCATCCTAGAATTTTGCATCCAGAAGTAATTTTGTGGAAGTTCACATATGGGTTATGGAAAGAGCACTCTGGAGCTGTGTGATCTCAGTATCAATTATGGAGAGAGTGCTCTTCATTGTCTATGATATGGGTCCCCAGCCTATGGGCCACGACCCACTACCGGGCTGCGGGTTAAATTGCCACCAGGCCATGTGAGTGTGCATCTGTGCATGCACACAGCCCCACTCAAACGAGTGTCATTGCAGACATTCGCAGCCCCACTCACATTGGCTACATTGTGGGCCCTCATGGCCCCACTCGCACTAGCTTCGTATGAAAGGTGTGGGCACTCGTGCATATATGCATGTGTACTTGTCTCTCCCACAAAATCATCCCCTCTTTCCCCCTCCCCCACGCCGGGCTGCCAATCTGGAAAGATTGGGGAACTCTGGTCTAGGATGAACCATCACTTCTGATTAACCTTCAAGGTCTTATAATCATACTTTACTTTAATCATCAGATTAAAATACTTTGTTGCCAGCCAGATTAGGGATGAGAGATAAGATTGTTTCCCTTCTGGAGGCATTTCCTCTCCTCACTAAACTGCATTGTATATGTTGAAAACTGTTAAGTATAACTACTTTTGGAGACTAGAGTTGAGTAGCAGAAGGTAGCAAGGAATGTGCCGCTGAATAGTCACACTATCAATCACAGCC